GTCAGCAATAAAGCCATCATTCACAATGCGAACAGAGTCACAAAGTATCGCGGGCTTACCATTGACTTGGCGGATAATTTAGTAGAGTTTTAGAACGTCGCAAACAGATGAGGTCTGCTACATGGAAGTCGCTGATTCGGATCACAATTTCTGCAGGTCATTCCCAGCCGACTTTGCTCTCAGTTTCGGCGGAAGGAAGCATCGTTGCGGGATCTGGCTCAAGCAGCCTGGGCAGACAACCGTAGCAGCGTTCTTCCGGCACTCACTGAATCTAAGCATTTTCTCAGATGCCCCATAGAGAGATGTCTTCGGTAATAATTCCATTGGCCATCACCGACAGGGGTCGTTAAAAAGGGTTCAGACCTCTGTGCCCAGGCACCCAGCAGGGCTGGCTCAGTGAGAGGCTCTTGGACGTTGCGGAAGTGACGGTGCCATAAAAGTCGTCAGTTCCGTCTGGCCCTCCGTTCCGAGTAGAACCCAGTTTTCTAATCCGTGTGGTTTGACTTCAAAGCCAAAACCACTAGCGTGTCCTGAGAGTTTGGTCGTTTATAGTGAACTAGCAGTGCTTGGGCGACAGTGCTTGGCTGACGTAGCCTAACGCCGGCGTCTAATGTGTGCGTGTGATGCCCAGCTCATGAAACGTCGATCGGAATTGCGAAATGTGTTTTCGATTCGAAAGAAGGAGTGTGTCAAATCTGTACAGATAGACGAACGATCTCGAATGCCAGCGGCACAAACAGATGTGCGTACTTTTTCACGTGTAGTATAGCAGTTGGTTTGAGTACAAACATCCCACAGACCAACAAGAAAGCTGTTCAGTGTCTATGAGTGTAAAGGCGAATGTTAGTGAGCACAGACGGAGAATTGGACACAGCAGATATTCTATAAATAAATATTACTTAATGATATCAGGTAGTATTATTATATTACGTATTCCACAAACATCAATAAGTCATTAGTTCAACGGTACGCAGCTTCCACTTAAAGACCTCTACGAATGCGGTTATAACGAGATCCACAGGCGGACCATTCCAAGCTTCGACCATTCTGTTGGAGAAGAAAAAGAGGTTTTCAATATCCAGCTTGGCCCCAGTCACATGAATTTTGAATGGATGACCTCTTAAATTCGTCGTGGCAATATGGATTATTGTACAGCCTAATTTCAAAATATTTCAGTCAAGTCAGGATGCCGGCCTTTTAACAAATTTGCTCGGTCCCATGCGACAAGAATGCTATTCGCAATTAATTACCCAATCGTGTGGCATGGACAAAAACAAGGCAACTACGTCAAAAGAGGAGAGGCATTCGCCATTGTGGTCTTCGATTCAGCGGAGGAATGCCTACGAGTTTTTAATGTTGTACTCCGATCCATTAGTTTTGAAGCACCCAACTCATGGATCGGAGTACAGCGTCTTGCAGACATTCCTCCGCAGGATCCAAGACCACAAAGTAAGTAATGGTGAATGTGCGGGGAATGCGTCAATTCGCACGATGAGTCCCCGGACACAAAGGCGTGAGAGCTACCTCGTTGTCTGGCCAACGATGTCTCCTCAATTCTGATTGGCCCATGTAGGCTTGGACAGTGTCTCGACGCGAGCCATTAATACGCATAGCCTCTGTGTGACAAGGACTTGCTCTAACTTGTTTTGTGTGAATACATGCTACTCATGGTCACTCGTGTTCTCTTGCTTCCCTTGTACGGGCCTTGTTGTTATTGTTGTACTAACTTACTCCCTTAACCTAGTTTGCCAGAAATACATGGTAAAAATTTTTAAGAAAGATGAAGGAAAAAAGATGAAATTATAAATTTTTTAAGAAAGTTGAAGGAATTCGGCGACTTTGTCTGGGCGAAACCAAAGGGCCTCAGGCGTGAGGTCCGTAGGATTGGCCGGGCAATCGAAGAGGTGGCACGTAGTGTGGGAAGGCAGGAGGCAGT